TAATATAGTAGTCACTGCTTTGATATAAACATTGTTTGTCACTTGTGTTAATGCTTTTTAAACGTGACTTCCCACTATATACATGTATATAGCAATTTTCAGATTGGGATTTTCTTCCAAGAGAATTAAATTGCCAAAATTCTATCATATAACTTACATTCATGAAACGTATCTCATGTGAAACTTACCATGATTAGTGAACTCTTAACTCAGTACCTGCGCAGCCCCAAGTGTTGCCGCAGCCTCTGCACGTTTGAGCTGCTCTGGCAAAGGACAAAAAACCTCCTATATTCTCGCAATGTTGAGTTTCAGCTGATTCATTTTCTGTTAATTAATTGTGGTAATATTTTTTTTGTTCCTCAAAGCTTTGCAGTTTTTATTTCTTGTTTCAGCTATTCACAGTGTAAAAAGTGTGGTTTGTTTCTGTCTTCAGTTGCAAATTATATACGTGAAAATATTGGGAATTGTTTACAAACTGACTACAACCCTCATGAAGTCTCTATTACTCCAGCCACTCCTGGGAATCTAAGACATCACCTTATGAACCTATAACCGCCCTAACAAAGGGCTTTTCCTCAAGGCCAAAGCTTTTCCCCAAGTACCATCACGATACGAATAACGAGCGGCGTGTTCTTATCCGCACCGCTACAGTGCGGATAAGTAAACTTGCAGGGTTATTCGTACCGTCATGGTGTGAATTAGTCAATTTTCAGTGTTATTCGTACCGTAACGGTTTGGTTACCGTTACCGTTACCTTCATTTACCCTTCAGAATCAAGTTGTAACCCAACCCAACCTAACCTAACCAAACTTAATCTAACCTAACCTAGGAGGCCACCGTGTCGCACACAGCGGCAGGGTGTAGCTCACTAAAGTGGAAAAAAACCACGTCTACTACCGGCATAATCATTATAAAACTTGTTATACATCACCTTATCAATCGATTGATAAAGTATATGACAATTAGAAGGCTATTAATCACACACTAACCTGGGAAAAAGGCAAGCGGAATTGACAAAATCAAAATGGCGCGGATGGCCTAGTGCGCAACCACATCTGCACAACAGGAATGAAGCTCTCCCATTGGTCGATTACCACGGTACGAATAAGATAGAAAAAAGGACAATCCTCACCGTCACAGTACGAATAGCCAGTATGTTTCCCCAGGCCTCACCCACTCATTTTATTTCCCTACGGTCCCCAGACCCTTAACCAGTTGCTGTAAATCTACTCTCTGCACAGCATTTATTTTGCACTTATTTTCTTCATTTCTGATGGAAAAGAAGAGAAATACATATACTTGGTGTGTGTGTGTGTGTGTGTGTTTGTGTGAGTGTGTGTGTGTGTGTGTGTGTGTGTGTGTGTGTGTATGTGTATGTGTGAGTGTGAGTGTGTGTGTACATGTGTGTGTGTAAAGAAAAATGTACCCAATTTACTATTCATTTTTTCCCTAAGTATTTGTTCAGGAATAGTAGAAAGGAAAAATTATGAAGAGAAATATATTTCATATTATTTTCCTATAGTGTTTGCTTTTCTTCTGTTTCTCCTCCCAGAAAAGAGATACCGGTACAAAAATCCATGAAGATTAAATGTATTCAGTTCTTCTTTTGGAATATTATTACAGTTTTCCTTCTTCCTGGAAAACTAAGGATTTTTGTAGGAAACAAGAAGATGAATTAATCTTTCCCTTGGATTATCATCATCATTATCATCATCATCATTATTATCATTATCATCCTCATCATCATCATTATTGTTATTATTGTTGTTATTGTTAATGTTACTGTTATTCCTTCAGAGAAACAGGAAAGATGGGAGAGAAGAGAGTAGTACCAGGACCTCTTAAAAAGGCACTAGAATGGGACGTGAAAATGACGGACAAGGCAGTGAAGATGTTCGACCAGAAATATGGGCCACTGAGCAAGTACAATACTATCTTCAAAGGACTTGAGGTATGCATGTGTGTTTTTCCTTTTTGCCACTTTTTTATCCTTTTCTTTCTTTCTTTCTTTCATTGATTTTCTTTACTTACAAATACTTATTATTATTATTGTTATTATTACTTTTGTAGTTGCTGTTGTTGTTGTTGTCGTCCAACTCCGTCGGGATGTAAATCCTTGTTGGCAACTTCTAAGCTAAGCCCTGCCTCTTTACTTTTATTCATGGCAATTTCTCTCTCTCTCTCTCTCTCTCTCTCTCTCTCTCTCTCTCTCTCTCTCTCTCTCTCTCTCTCTCTCTCTCTCTCTCTCTCTCTCTCTCTCTCTCCCTCCCTCTCTCTCTCTCTCTCTCTCTCTCTCCCTCCCCCTCTCTCCCTCTCTCTCCCTCTCTCTCCCTCTCCCTCTCTCCCTCTCTCCCTCTCCCTCTCCCTCTCCCTCTCTCCCTCTCCCTCTCTCCCTCTCCCTCTCTCTCTCTCTCTCTCTCTCTCTCTCTCCTCTCTCTCTCTCTCTCTCTCCATCCCCCCTCTTTCCCCCTCTCTCCCTCCCCCCTCTTTCCCCCTCTCCCCCTCCCTCTCTCACTCTCTCCCTCCCTCCCTCTCTCTCTCTCTCTCCCCCTTCCACTCTCACTCTCTCCCTCCCTCTCTCTCTCCCTCCCTCCCTCTCCCTCCCTCCCTCCCTCTCCCTCACTCTCTCTCTCTCTCTCTCTCTCTCTCTCTCTCTCTCTCTCTCTCTCTCTCTCTCTCTCTCTCTCTCTCTCTCCCTCTCTCTCTCTCCCTCTCTCTCTCTCCCTCTCTCTCTCTCCCTCTCTCTCTCTCTCTCTCTCTCTCTCTCTCTCTCTCTCTCTCTCTCTCTCTCTCTCTCTCTCTCCCCTCTCTCCCCTCTCTCCCCCCCTCTTTCCCCCTCTCTCCCTCCCCCCTCTTTCCCCCTCTCTCCCTCCCCCCTCTTTCCCCCTCTCTCCCCCTCTCCCCCTCCCTCTCTCACTCTCTCACTCCCTCTCTCTCTCTCCCCCTCCCTCTCTCTCTCTCCCCCTCCCTCTATCTCTCTCTCCCCCTCCCTCTCTCTCTCTCTCTCTCCCCCTCCCTCTATCTCTCTCTCCCCCTCCCTCTCTCTCTCCCCCTCCCTTTCTCTCTCTCTCCCCC